TACAAAAACACAACTGAAGAGATAGAAAAATATTCACACAACTTACAATTTTGTCTGATCCATAGATATTCTCCAACTGTTCAGCAACCTCCCTTGTTCCATCTGGGCTCCCATCATCTATGATTATAATTTCATAGTCGATTCCACTAAAATAAGAAAATTAAATTTGTATTGTTTGAATATAGTATTATAACAAAAGTAATAATTTTAAAATTACTAATTCTTAACCAGTAGTGGAAATTTATTGTCATAATAATCACTAAGGAAAACTTCAATTATCAAATGAAATGTCAAATATTCAGTACTTCACCTCCAAACTCAACATGTTGCTGAAAAGTGTTATTATAAAGTCCTATGATGTTAAAAAATTCTCTGACAGAAAACATTAAAAAAAAGCAGTGAGCTCAGCAAGTGTGGGTCAATAGTTGAGTGTTGACCCATGCACCAAGATGTCATGGGTTTGATTTCTGGTAGCGGCACATGCCCAGGTTTCAGGCTCAATCCCTAGTGGGGGACGTGTGGGAGGCAGCCTATTGATATTTCTCTTTCATTGATGTTTCTAATCTCTCTAAAAAAACCGCATATTTCTTTTAAAAAACCAGTGATTTATATGTATATATTATATGTGATAGTATATCATATGAAGTTTTATTTACTTTGGCAATAGAATTGTGGAACCTTAATATCAAATAGTTTATTAACTATTTCAAAAGTATATTTAATAGATAGCTCAAATTGATTGCATAGCTCTGGGAGATTATTATTTAAAATTTAATCCCAAACAATTTTAAGAACATAATCAGGAATAAATCCAACTTAATTTCACCCTTTAAAAAACCTACTTCAGAATGGCAACATAATATTTCACACCCCTATTTCAATAGTTGTACACATTATCCTACACTAGCAAATAAAAGGAAATAGCACAGAATAACAAAATATTTCAATATCCGCCCTGGCCGATGTGCTCAGGGGTTAGAGCGTTGGCCCACATACAGAAGGGTCTCATGTTTGATCCCTACCCCAGTTGGGGTGTGTGCAGGAGGCAACCAGTCAATGTGTCTCTCCCACACTGATGTCCCTCTCTCTCCCACCTTCCTCCTTCCCTTCCACTCTCTCTGAAAAGCAATGAAAAGAAATATCCTCAGGTGAGGATTAGCAAAAAATTTTTTTTCAATATCCTTCACAATTAACATCTTTCTGCTGCTCCTGATTGTCTTTATGGGATAGTTTCTATTCTAAAAACAAGTCGGCATAATACTTGGATGTACATGAGATCACTATCATCCTGACACTACCCCCTTTAAAAAACATTCTTTTTGTTAACTTTATTGGAAACTTAAGGGGAAAGAAACTGAGGCAACGCCAAACTTTCACACACAACATTCTGTTTCTTCTTGGTAACATGCAAGGAAGTCAACCAAAAAACACATTCCACTGTTAAAAGTTTAAGAAATTCAGCCCCAGCAAACTTGCCAGAAAGAAAACTCAGCCTTATCAACTCTCCAGGAGTAAAAAGTATGACTTCAGCTTCCCAATATGCTTGAACTTGGGCATGTGCTTACAAGCCCAAACAAGTAAAATGTTGATTCTAGCTGATGGGCTGAAAGATTCACACTTCAAAGCAAAGGCACTTCTCTAGCCCACTTCAAAGCACCATAGCATCTGAGGGTGAGGTAGCTGAAAGGAATCAAGCTGAGCAGATATTAGTTAATGTGACTGAATCTGACAAGTTGTTTCCTTCATTAAACTTCATTCTTAAAAAATGTTTTCATTGATCTGGCTGCCCTTTGCACACTCCTACCAGGGATGTTTCTCCCACACTGATGTTTCAATGAAACCCGGGCATGTGCCCAGACCAGGAATCGAACCAAGGACCTTCTGGTGCATGGGATGATGCTCAACCAACTGAACCACACTGGCCAGGGCTAAATTTCATTTTGATTAAATAAATCCATTCAGAGCCCTGGCTGGTTTGGCTCAGTGGATAGAGCGTTGGCTTGCGAACTCAAGGGTCCCGGGTTTGATTCCAGTCAAGGGCATGTACCTTGGTTGTGGGCACATACCCAGTAGGGGTTGAGCAGGAGGCAGCTGATTGATGCTCTTCTCTCATCAATGTTTCTAGCTCTCTATCCCTCTCCTTTCCTCTCTGTAGAAAATCAATAAAACATATTTTTTTAAAAACTCCATTCAGAGACTATTAAAATATAAATTGCACTACATAAAGTATTTAAAAATAAAGCAAAAATATTGTACAATCAGAAGTCAAACAGGAACAGATAATTCTCTAAATTGAAAAGAGCCTGTAGAAATAAAAATAAAAATATAATTTAAAAAGAGGAAAAAGAGATGAATAATGAATTTGAAGAACTATGTATGTGAAGATAGTTATCTCATTCAAAGAAAAATAATTAAAATGGCAATGTTTATGATTGTTTAACCACTATGGGGTACACTTGAAACTAATACAAAATATTAAATGTAAACTATAATTTAAAATAAAATTTAAAAAATAAACAATTGTGCAGCTGGAAAAAAACCCCACACCCAGCAATGTTTTTCATCAAAGAGCACTTCCAACAAAGTAACAATACTCAGGTTGACTGGCTGCGAGAGAACAGGCACTCTCTGAAGAATGCTGCAGAGTCCTAAGCCAGTACAATCTCTTTTGACAGTAATGTCAATAACTATCAATTTTAAGCACATCTCTATTGATCCAGCAATATCACCGCAAAGACTTTATCCTGATGTACCAGCAAAAGTATGAGTGTTTGTTGCAACGTTAATCTTAACAAAGGAGCACTCACCATGTGTCACTTTTCAAAATGCTGGAAAATGTGGCGTGAACAATGTCCCTGTTCTCATTTGTAAATGTAAAGGAAATGTAAAAAAATACATGTATTTTAAAAAATAATCTGTTTGCCCTAACTGGTTTGGCTCAGTGGATACAGTGTCGCCTGCAGACTCAAGGGTCCCTGGTTCGATTCCGGTCAAGGGCATGTACCTTGGTTGCGGGCACATCCCCAGTAGGGGGTGTGCAGGAGGCAGCTGATCGATGTTTCTCTCTCATGGATGTTTCTAACTCTCTATCCCTTTCCCTTCCTCTCTGTAAAAAAAAAATCAATAATATATATATTTAAAAAATAATCTATGTTCGTTGACATAACCCGGTTAAATAAAATATAACACAGCCACATGGAATATTATTTAATTTTCAAAATAATTTGCTAAGTGTGTGTGTGCTGTTATGGAAAGATCTTCAAAGATTTCTGCAACATGGTCCCATCAGTGTAACACAAATGGACGTTACTGTCCTGATACCAGGATTTTCCGAAGTTTAAGAAAATCTGTATAAACACTTTCGAGGCCCAGGTTCTACTGGCCGCAGCCAACACCCGCCGGTGGCCGGCGCAGTCCAGAAAGGCTGTGCAGCCCCGCGGCCGCTCCCTGCCCCCG